ACACTGTTCTATTTCAAAATATTATTTTAACAAATGAAGCAATTTATCACTAAAAATAATTTTCCCAGTGACTCATGAGATAATAGCCCATTTTCCTATTAAAACAGAATACAAAAATTATTGTAAGATATATTTAAAAAATATATACTCCCATTCAGTTTATATAAACACTTCCCACTTTGTATCAATTTTCTGAATTTTTTCCCCAAATCAACTCTCCAGATCTTTGTTGGTGTTGTTAGGGTTATATTCCAATAAACTCATTGTCAATTAAAAATATTCTAAGTCAGAATGCATTTAAAACACCTAACCTACTGAACAATAAAGCCTCAGCTCTCATACCTTAAATATGCTTAATTAGTCATCAGTTGTTGATGTGATGGAATGTAAAGTGCAGACAACACAGTATGCTGTGGACATCAGTTGTTTACCCCGTTGACCAAGTGGCTGATTGTGGCTCCAGTCACCGCCTAGCAGTACAAGAAAGTACAGAATCACACACCACCAGCCCAGTAAAAGACCAAAAGTAAAAGTTTGAAGCGTGGTTTCTACTAAATGCACCTGGCTCTCAGACATTAAGCTGAAAAACGATAAATTAAGTCATCCTTACTTGGCAAATTTCTGGATTTTTTAGTCTTCTAGTAAAATGATCTGACAATACATTTAATTTGTTTGCTGCTTATCACTTAAGGCATTTTTTTCCACCCCTACAAGGATACATTTTTTTCAATTTTTTTTTTTTTTGCAGATACTATATAAGATCCTAGCTATTGCTATTCACTTTTATGAAACTTTATAAAATACTAGATTAAATATAGCATATCTTTAAAAGGTCACTGAAAAATATCACAAGTTTTTCTTTAGACTTTGCTTGCTTCATGTTATGCTAGTTATGATGACTTCATAGTAGCTTTAACTAATCTCTTCTTGCACAAGAAAAAGGACAAGTTTAACTGCTAATGGCTGACAAAGTAATATATTTCTAATACTCTTTTAGATGACACATCTTTATATTTTACACTGTCTTTCAATATAAATTAATCGTGATTAATGAATTTCATGGGCATCTATGAAGAGTCCCTCCTGGTGTGAAAGTACAGCTCTGTCATTTTCTTCTTCTTTGCCTTAAATTCCGGTTACTTTTTTTTTTTAATTACAACATACTGATCAACTTACCTTTTCCCAAACTTTACTCAAAACCAGATAAACTAGCAAAATCCATGCATTCATTTTAACCATCTGTATATTTATTAAATGATGCCACAACCAGATTAAACTAATGAATCCTGATGCCACTGAGGATTCCTCCTCACAGTGCTCTCACTATTCCCTGGGGAGACCCCCAGTCTTCTCATGGATGTATTAGATCAGACAGAGAAAGCACAAAAGGTGCCTTGGGTTAAAATTATGTTAAGCAGTAGTAAAACTCAATAACCAGAGTCTATTCAATTAAATAAATAGGAGAGCTTGATACTTTCCTCGTGTAGCTCAGAGTGCTTTTGCACACACACTCCACAGCACAAGTGACATGAAGTCCTCCCTCTGACTGTCTCAGTCTCTCACAGACACACACACACACACACACACACATTCCCCTTTACTTACACAATCATTTCCTAGAATGCCTGTTTTAGTAACATCAGCTTTCTCGCTCCGCTCTTATAACATTCTCACCTTCTGTTTACACTCAGGCTGTTCCTTCTTCCTAAATTGTTCCTTATTTGCCTATAAAAACCCTTCCAAACTTTTCAGCCTTTCCTCATTCCCTAGCTTTCTAAAAAAGCCTCTGACAGCTCCCCTCAGAAGGATCTTCCCTCTCATATTTATATGACATTTGGAGACCTCAGACCCTACTTGGCTAAGTTTCAAGTATGTTGTAACACTCTTCCCAAATGAAGAAAACAGTCACATTTTGTTGAAAGTAACAAATACCTATTAATTGTTCTCAACTTCTATTCTACACACCCTGGGATTTTCTGGTGTTTGAGTTCAGTATATTGTTCTGATAATTTTGATTCTGATTATTTTCTGATATATGATGATTGTTAAGTAAATAGTCTGAAAGCTTTTGTGTTAGGCAATATTTGACTACCTAATCCACTAAAAATATTCTATACTTTCAATATTATAAACTCACATTGACATGCTGCTTTTCCAAACAATAGAGGTGATTTTATAAAAACATGCTCTAAATTATTCTTTTAAGATAGAAATATGAATGCTGCTTGAGCTGACATACTTAAATTGCTTATGTATCTAGGTGACTTTTTAATATAAAGAGAAAGCCATGGAACATTTAAATAAATTATCAGCTACACTCATTTAAGCAGTATACTCAATCATACCTATTCAAACTTATTCTTTCTGCTTCTGACAGCAGAAACAAAAGTATTAGTACGTTAGAGTAAACTTTAATGCAATATTTTTTTTTCTGTTTAAAATACTATTCACTAGTTTTTTACAAGTGTCATAAATCCATTGAGTTAGCGCTTTGTTATGACTGTTTCTACCTTCACACTCGTAAGTGGCCATGTTCATGTCAATCTCAAACAAAAGCAGTCCAATGATAAAATGGGTTTACTCAGAAACAAAGTACAGATGAGAAGGCACATTGGAAGTGTATCTGCGGTGAGACCCATGTTCACTTTCATGAGTTCAGGGTTAACACCCCTCTATAACCTCCAGAGCCTCTCTGCTCAGTACTGCAGTGAGGAGGAAACAGTCCCTGACTCATGAAAGGCACGCGGCGCCTGTGGTCTGCCAATTTGGGTATGGACACGCCCTTTCTCGCCTTCTGACCTTACTGAAGTAGGGTATATATTCATATTCACACTTACCTCAACCACCCTTGGAAATTCAACTTTTTGTGTGACACTGCAAGCTATTTATCTTCTAGGCTCTCCCGCTAACTGTTTCCACACTTTGTAACGTAAGCTTTCAATATGTGATAGACCCCGTAATCTTCATCCTCCATGCCTGGAGCCTACCTGCTTGTCCATGAGTCTACATAGTGACTATGTGTTATATATCAGGAGGCAGAAGTACACAATGGTCCCATTCAATGGTCAGTTTTTAAACGTATAGGGACAAATTACTGAAAATCTAGACATATATAAGTCAGAGGTGGAGGCAGACTCGATAACCAGCAGGGATTCTACTGAACCCAAGAGCAGCAAAACTCATGAATTGTCAACAAGAACCCATGGATAGCATGTGCTCATATTTTTAAAACTCCATAACATTTATTTAATGAACTTTAAAATTCCTGAATCTCAATCAGAAAATTATTAGAATAGTTTAAAATCTATGGGATAAATTAAGTTCATAAACGCTCACTGCATTTCTATGTCAGACACTGTAGAAAATTAAATAAATATTTCCTTTTTTAATGATAAAAGACATGTAATAAGAGCATTAAATTAATTGCTTAGTTTTACTTAAATAAAATCATGTGACTATATTTTTAGAAAAATTCCCTGAAGAATTTTAGAGAGCTTCAGAATGTGCTAGTGAAATTCATTTGAATAAGTGGGCTCATAATACTTTTAATACAGACTCTTGAAAGACACTAACCTTTTAACACTGTCTAAAGATGATTTTCAATGAGGCTTAATTTTAAAAAAATTACATGTAAATAAATCAAAGCTACATAAAGCAAAAGAAACATTACTTTTCAATAAATATTGTTGATTTTTAGTTATCAGTACAGAGACAAGTAGCAATATAACATCTATAAATCCTAAATGAGTCAAAATGTAAGTAGCCTTTAAACATTATTTTAAACCACAAAAAAGCAAAAGAAACTCCATTCCATAAGAAAATAAAATGCATTTTTGATTTCTGAAGAATTAAGATACCATTAAGACAACAAGAACATGCTAAGGTCTTGTTCAGATAACCTTGCCTTCATAAATTCCTTTCCATTTTTTTTGTTGCCTCAAAGCAAAAAAAAAAAAAAAATTGAAATGAGAGGGTAAAGCTATCAGCCTCCCATTACTTAAATTATCTCCTCTGCACCATGTTAAATTCCTGTTTCCTAACCCCATTAGGTTTCCTTTATCTTTTACATTCCCTTATATAAAACAGGTGTTCCACAAATATTTCTTGGACTACTGTAATCTGAATACAGAACTGTTTCTGAAGATACAATGTCCTAAAACCAGAATGTAGAAAAGTAAAGGCAATGATAGAAACATTATTTTCTCAAGTAGTACAAATGCTTTTTTTTTAAAATGAGAATGACATTTTAATGTAATGCATGTAAGAGTGAGGAACTGATTCTATACGCAAAAGGAAACAGAAAATTATTTGCTCATCATTAAAGAAATGTTCATTTTCATACAACTTTTGTGCAACTATTAAATTACTAACAGTTAAGTTAAACCCAGTGTGGTGGATGAAAACCTACAGATCATGGTGAGTGGCCCCATTGTTCTGAGAACAAACTGACTGTGTGTGATGACCAGTCCCTGTTCCAAGCATAGAGTCATTTTGTAAACAGCAACTGAATTTAGTGGTCTTCATGCCCCAGGGTTTTCAAAGGGCTGGTGGTATCCAGCCCTTATGAAATTTTGAGACTGATCAATCAAGGATCTCTTGTTGCAGACACAGTAAGGAAAAATCACAAGGAATAGAAACAAATGTGAGGAAAATAGAATCAAAGGAAGGGTGGGAACACAAGGAAGGAATCAGAGTGAGAACAGCTCAGTTGCAGACACCATTTTTTTAAAAATTCTAAACAGAAGTAACAAAAGCGAAATCCCCACATATTTAGATTATTTCACTTTTCTATCGTGAATCTGACAAGTTCATTACTCCTAAAAGTTTAGAAATACAGCCTCAGATAAAAATTAAAAACAAAGTAGTGTCAAGCTCAAACCATATGAAAAATTTCTTTTAAAAAAAGCTAAATGAAGAGCAAAATAGCTAAAACAGGATTCTTGGATCTTGAAATTATGACAGAAAGTACATCCACAAATCATATCAAAATTATAACTCACGTTTTTGAAGTTAGCTGAAAATCATGACAGCCTGAAAATGAAAAAAAGAAAGAATAAAAAGTTAGCTAAAAGAACTCAAATATAAAATGTTAACACAAAAATGAAAACTAAACTGGAAGTAAATCCAACAGTTAGCACCTTAAGAAAAACAGAAAAATATGATCTCATAATAAATATGTAATAAATAATTTTGAGAAAAATATCAAATATTAAAACTAAACAAATAATACTAACATAACTATGAATACTGAAAAACAGACTTATGGGTGAAAGAACATAGTATGTTCTGACTATATACTTCAACAACGCCGGCAAAGTTCAACTGTTAAAAAATGAAAGAGAATGGGAAGAAAATTTGTTAAAAGAACAAAAAAGTGATTGGAAAACTATATCCCTTCATTACAGACTTAGGTGAACATAAGGAATGGCATTTTGAAGTTGACTGCATTCACTCCTTCATTTAATATGTATTCACTTAACTCATAGTCAATAAATATGTATTCACTTAATTCATATTCAGTAAACATTTACTAAGATACTATTGCATGACTGACATAGTATTATACTATTTATAGTGATAAATGCAATATGGAAAATATAATCATTAATAAAAACAAGTATAAGCCTTTCCCCTTGCCTTTAAATATCACATGACCTCATGTGAATGGTATCAATCAGATGTCCTTTTACCGATGGTAGATTGTTTTCCCTTCCGATGGTAGATTGTTTTCCCTTCAGGAGTAAGCTGTGAGAACTCCAAGGCAGAGTCCTGCTAGCTAGCATTTCTAGTCATTATGGGTCTGGGTCTGTCTCAAATGTAAAATATCTATGACATCTATGACGAGTTATTTCCAGGCAGCCTCATAACATGAATTAATATGTAAACCTGAGTCCCAAGAAACATTTTTTTTTAATCCTTGAGACGCTTATAACTTTAACTTCCCATTCTTATCTCTAGTATGTTAAATAGTTACAAAATAGATCACAAGTTAATTTGAGTTGTTTAACAAAACTGTGTAAATATAATTGTTCAAACGGAAGAAAAAAAAGATTATATTGTGTCAGGAAAAGTAGGCTTGGAATTGGGGATGGATAAGTAGGATTTTGAATGACTAAACCAAGAAATAAACACATTATATAAAGTACTCATGGAAGGTGCTAATGTGGAGATGTTTATGCACTTTAATTTAAAATTTTATGAACCAACAGAGCTATTTTGAAAATGTACATTTTGACAAAAATGTACTTTACCAGCTTTAATATAAAATTAGAGTATTTATTCATCATTCCTCAAATAAATTCAATTCTACTTATTGCCTTCCAGTCATTACATTATTGTCAGGTTATAGTTATGGGTATTATAAAAATAACATTTTGTGAGTCGGATAAGGACTTATGTTTAAATTGCATCTTATAAATTTTTAGTGCTCCAGGATGAAAACAAAAATCCTAATTATTGAAGTATGCTTGGATAGTTGTCACAAGAAAATGGGAGAAAAAAAATACTCTGATTTAAAAAAGAAACAATGTTCACCAAAAATATCCTAAACTGTAGAGATAACTTATCCTAATTATAAAAGATTTCTTTTGTCATTTTCTGCATTCGGATAATAGAGAAGGAGCTATGGTAATCAGCATTATTAAAAAAAACTGTTTATAACTGAATTCTTCATTTATAATTTCCAGAGAGAGAAAACATTTATGATTTATTCCTAATTTCATTTTCTGAATTTTGCATTTTGTTTCTTAAAGTGACCCATCTAAATTGAAAAGTTTCTGGATCTACAAAACCTGGATCTCTCACCATCATTTGAAAACGGAGCTTGATGTGATTTATTGGAAGGACCACTAATCTCTGAAGTATTAGGTTGCTCAACCAGTCTGAGAAGAACCAAGGAATAGGGGAATTTTCTCCTGTATTCCACCATAGGGATAAAGGGAAGAGATAAGAAGTGGGATATGAGAAAAAGGATTTTAGAAGTTTCAAATGTTGGACTAAGCAACTGGAAGTCTTGGGATTGTCATCTTAAAGCATGGGAAGACTACAAAGAGCAGCATGTTTAAGCAAACATTCAGGAGTTCAGTTGTGAACATGTTACCTTTAAGATATCTATTAGGTATGGGGTTTCAAGTAGTTCATTTAGATTCCTAGACAGAGTTCGAGCTGAACTCATACATTTAAGAAGTACCAGTTGTGGACGTCATTTGAAGCCATGAGACTTGAGAACCAGAGCAGATATGGAGTCTGCACTTAAATTTGTGAGTTTTATTCTTAGGGGAGAAATAGAGAATAAAGGAATACATTTGAGAATCATCAGCTTGGACGCTTTTTATTAAGTCTGAATGAGATCAGGCAAAGTGAAGGTTGATAAAAGAGACAAGTCATCCACACTGAGTGCTGGGCCACCACCCTTTAAGCTGGAGGGAATGAAAAATAACCAAGCTAGGAGAACAAGGTGTCAGGGTAAATAGGCAGTTGTGGTATTCTTATGCCACACCTCACGCCCCAAGAGGCTGTGAATCTTTCTCCCTCAAGAAGCTTTCTGGTGATAAACTAGTAAAACTAAACGGGATTTATTCAGCAACAAAATGACAAAAGAGACAGGCAGAAAAAAGTGGGTACATCATAGCCCCACTGGCTTGTCTCTTTGGAGTCTTCATTTTCGGGCCCTCGGACAAGAAACCATAGCTCAGCTGCACAGGGAAAGGAAATGAAGAACTGTGGGGATTATGGGCCCCCTAGTTGGTGATCTGAGCTCGTGGGTTCTTTCTAGCCTCCCACGTCAGAAATAATTTGAATGAAAATCTGAGTATGAATATTGACAAAAAAAAATACCAGTGTGTTGATAGAAATGATTAAAAAGAAAAGCTCAGTGCAGGAACTTAAGAACAGAGTTAGTTGCCTGAAGAGTAGAAGGACTTCTGGGTTCTGGGTGACAGGACAGAGAGCAGAGTGGGAGGACACACAGGGGCAACTTTCAGTGCTTGGTCCCTGCTTGTTCCAGCTTTCTTGGTGAGACAGGAAATGCAGACATAATGAGAGCAGGATGTGGAGAGGTGAGAATTTTAAGGAGACAAGAAACAAGCAACAGCCATCTAGTCTCTGGCTGGAGCTACTCAGGCAGGCACTCAATCAGTACAAGGAATGGCTTGACACTGGAAATCGTCTGCTGCCAAACGTTTGTAGGACCCCTTTGATACATGAAGTACAGACCCCTTCACAGAGTACATTCCAGAATGAAGTATAAAGCAGAAGTGTTTGTATTTGCATTCAAAACACAATTAGAAAGGAAAGCTATTTTTCCCTTTGTAATTATAAAGAGACCCTCACAAATTTTATATAAGATTCTGCAATTTTTACCTAAGTTGTGCCTCTTGAAGAAAAATACATGAAATATTTAAAATGCTAGGCCTCAAGGTCACCACTGAACATTCTTTTTATGTGGAGGGGCTATGTGTTTCCACTCAGCATTTTTAATTTGCATGTTTGTTAACCTCCCGACACTGTGATCCTTCACAGGAATAGCTTCGATTTTAAGTAGTTTTTGAGAGCAAATTTTTTTCCTTCATACAGGACCATCATCCTCTGATTAGATACTGACAGTCATATAAAGTTATACATAAATATAGATGCACATGCATACATATATTTTAAGTATCCATCATAACCTCAGAAGAAAAAGGCAGTATTTGCCCATTTGAGAATGCTAGAAGCATCCTGTATAGTGGATATGAAGAAGTCATAAATTTATAATATGAAGCCATTGTGGCTTGAGGGATAAATATTCAGTACCTGGTATTACCTGATAAAGTCATACATATGTATAGCTCCATTTTATGTGATAATTACTAAATCTAGCTTAGCATCTGCTTTTTCCAGATAAACTGAATTTATTATTTTGAATAAGTCAGTCACAATAATTCATAACATTGTGAAAAATTGGCTAATAAAGAGGTCATAAGAAAAATTTAAGGTGAGCAAGAAATTTTACTAGAAATTCCAGTCATCATATAAATTAGAATTGCCTTCTAACAATTTTTAAAAACTATCATTTGTGTACTTAAACTCCATGTTCTTCAAGAACAAAAACAAAGCTTAATCCAAAGACATCTGAAGGATTTCTGAACTATCCATTTTAGTCCTTGAATTTTAAAGTGACTTTTATTGTGTTTCAAAATAGCCAAGCATCTTCTTTCTACATTTACCAACAAATAACTGAAAATGCCTATTTATACTCAACTGCCTACCATCTAAAAGCAAGTGATAAGGTGAGAAGTGTATTTAGTAATGAAAAAGATAAGCTAAAGAAATGTAGCTAGTTGTTCAAAGATAGGGGTATAATAAATCCACCTCAACACCTATAGAATTCCTCTGCTTAGAAAGATCAGCTTCACATTGAAGTTTTGTTTCCTATACCATGAATAGCACATTCGTTTTCTTGATATTATTTAAGAACTTAGGATCACCTCGGACATCAGTATTTTCTTAACATATTTTCAATGAAAATAGTACTATTTTACTGACCTATATTGACATTCAAAATCCTAATTTGAATAGTGCTGTCATTGTTTTTCATTGTTCTTAATTAAGCTTAAAAGTCAATGTATAACTGGAACAGTAAAAGAAAGGTGCATATTCAGTCTTGAATTAGGAATATTCTTTCTAACCTAACAGCTTATCAAGAACTATTAGATTTTGCAATTAAAAAAGACTAATAGTAGAAACATTTTAACAGAAACCTAGAAAGGAATTTGTAATGTTTTAATGTATATGAGGATAAAGATATATATAGCCTTAATAGATAAAGACGCAAATATCATTAGAAATAATGAACACCCAAAAGCAAAAAAAAAAAAAAAAAGTAGAGAATTTAAAAAGTCTTAAAAGTAGGAATTGGTAATGAATTTATGTTCAACAGAAATTTTAAAGAACACAGTTGTGTTTACCTACTCACTGGAAGCAAAAATCCTTACAGCTGAAAATTAAAGTACACTGTTCATTTTGGGGTCTCATTAACATATTGCTAGTGA